TCTCATCTGTGGCTATGTACAGAAAGGATACTTAAAAGAAATTTCTTAAGTAGTTACCTTCCAAGGTACCGTATCAAGTAGGCTTTCTGTTTCTTCTATGCAAAGGATTAAATCGAGGCAATGGAAATTCCCCTGCCCATGACAGAAAATTCTTCCCTTTGTTTTAGAGCATTCATGCATTTCAGGAATTCTTTTTGAGCCACTGGTCCTACAGCTCTTTTCTACTTTTAATTTTACAGCTCTTTTCTACTTTTAATTTTCTGGTGAGCACTGAGGGGTGACTGGTCTCTCCCAGTGACCCCCACACACCAGGTTTCTGTACCCAAAAGTAAGGTACAGGCTCAGAATATGCATCTATCACTGCATTCCCAATTAAACAGGACAGTAGCAAACTGCAGAAATGTGTTTGATAAATTTCCTTGGGGTCTCATGCTAATGAAGAGTGATCATTTGTAGTTCCTTTCCCCATTAACCTATGTTTATTAAAAATTGACCTTCTGCTATCGTATTACCCGCATCTTTCTCTCTGTATCTTAATCAAGCTTTTGAACCATTGGCAAATTTTGACCAAATTTGGTCATAAAATAGTAAGTTCGTACAAAATCTGAAAATATTGAGTGGAGAAAAAGATGCAAATACGGAGGAAAAGGCAAATCAACTCATTCTATCAGACCTCACAGAATCTACATGAGACAGTGAAAAGGGAGAAGGAAAAGTAATAATTTATTTTTGCTGGTTTTGCTGCTTAAAAAAGCTACTTGTTTACATTTTTGTTCCCAGATTGTGGTTATTAGTTTTGCCTCAATATGGCTTATTCTGTGCAGCTGTTTCAACTGGGAGCTGTTTAATAATGAACTGTTTAAAAGAGGTTTGTTAATGCTGCAGAGTTTGTGCCTAAAAGTGGAAATCACGCATCTACAGAAACTCGTGAAAAATGTGCAGATTTGTCTAGTGTACTCTCCAAAATGTAGAATACTGCAAGTACTTGTTTAAAGCTCACTTTCTAACCTGGGTGGTCAAGGCATACTGAGAAATAAAGACCGCGAGAAATTGCTACAAGCTGGGGATACAGACCACTGGTTTGGTTGTCTTAATTTCAAGCCAAAATATTTATGTGATAATTTTGCCTCATGTCTAGGGAGAGAGGTGATTAAAGAGCTTCCCAGAACCAATAGAATCAGCAGTCTATACTCTCTAATAGGCTCCCTCTCTTTTGGAACAGAACAGCTCAGAGGTGTTTCTTTTTCTACATTGTCTTTTACTTTAGTTGAATGCTTTTTTTTTTTTTTTTTTTTTTTTTTTGTATGGGGTGTGATTCAGACTCCACCATCCTTAACAAAATTCAAGAGAATGTTAGCAAAATACTGTAATCCAGGTTTCTTACCACTAATTCTCTTACCAGCAATAAGCAGAGCCATGGACTAGAGCCCCACAGAACCAAAAGGCTGCTTATAACCCTAGCTATTTTCTCATTTATTGATATCCTCTCCCAAACTGGCTTTCATTCCCCCCAAACCCTGAGCTTTCATTCTTAAACCAGTAAGAGACCAGGATTCCGGGGAGGAAAGGGGATAGGAATAGCAACCATCCACCATCTGCTTGCTACAGGATTTTCACACTTTCTTCTTATGCATTTTGTAATGGCAACTGTTGGAGACAGGGTACTGAGCTGGATGGAGCTGAGGTGTGATCCAGTCTGTCAATCCGCAGGTCACTGTCTGTTTCAAAAGCTCCCAGATTGCTGCTGTTAAATCTAGTGCTGCTATAGTAGTCTTTCTCTGTCTTGTATTTTCCAGTCTACTTCAGCAATGGCTTGTAGGTGTTTGTTTCTTTGAGTGAGTGCATGGAGGGAGGAGTGTTTGACATGAAGAATTATTGAAGGAAAGCCAGATGGCAGAGTCTGGGTTTTGCTGTAGGTACCGGTGATGCCCATCACCCCTTCCACAGCTATGCATGGCAGGCACTTGGTTCATTGCATCCTTAGAAAGCTCTCTTGGGCTCTGTAATATGGCTGTTGGCATCTGCAAGGAGGTTGGGGCTCAAACAAGTTATTAAGTGAGACTGTACTGTTGCACTCAGCTCTTCTCCTGGCTTTCCTAGACCCACCTCTGTCTCAGGACTGTGTTTCCTGAGACAGTGTTAGCCCTCTGTGGTCATTCCAATATAGCAGAAAGGAGGAACTGTCAACTTCCAGACCAGGCCTTTGCAAATGCTACGTGGTGGTTTTCCATATTTTTTAAAAAATAAGTAATAGTAATAAAGAAGAACGTGGTAGCTTAGGTTGCAAGCAGGGGAAAAATGACATATTGCAGCATCATTCACTGAGCTACTCAGACTGTGGCACTTTCCTATCCTCTTAAACACATCAGAGCAACCCCAAGGGCAATCTGGAAGGAGAAGGCAGGGGAGACTCTCCAGGGGAAGGCAAGTATAGATGGTTTCCTCCTCTGTGAGCTCTCAGGTCAGGCACAATGACAGCAGCTGGTGCTGGCAGAAGTCACCGCTTGCTGACAGGGTAGGCAGTTGTGACCATTCTGCATTGCTTAGTCTCAATATTAAAAAGCAAATAGAGCCAAAGGAAGCCAGAGAGGAGCCCTTGTCTGTCCCCATTTCCATGTCATAGGGAAGCTCAGATGGCCTCAGTGTAAATTAAACTGCTGTGACATCAATTACAATTCCTGGCAGCTCATTAAATACAAGGGCCTTTTTCCACCTCTTGCCTCATCTTTTATTTAATTCCTTTTCTCGCCTTCCATATGGTGCCCATATCCAAGAGATCCCCTGAGAGGACATCTCTCCTGGGGTAATCAGTTCAGCACCCGGGAAGGTACTTGCATTACCACACCATCTCAGTGAGAGGAGAATAGGCTCTACGATTTCATTGCTGTTACTTCCTTCTCCCTTTTTCTGCACCATGTTGGAAGCCTCTCTTAGCCCCTGAGGAACGACTCAGCATTCAAACTAGGATGAACCCTTCTGGATGAGGTTTGGATGACTGCTAAAATCTTTTTGACAGCTGGTAGTTGGTATTAGCCCCTTTTGTATATCCCTTCCAGTTTTTCAGTGCCGTGCTTGTGTTCAAGGATTTGGTGGAAGATACACCACAAATATTTAATGTTAATGCTGATGCGTTGTAGCCCACTAACTGAGCCTCTCCTACCTTGCTTCAGAGTTCAGCACAGTAATGTCTGGATTTCCCCAGGTGGTCAGTGACTGGGAGAAATCTGAGTTCTCTACAGAGCTGCAAGCTCCTGGACACCTCAAAAATGCTGGAAAAAGATGTGAAAGGGATAGCATGGCACATGGCTCATTATTAGTCATTCATCTTTGGTGACTCAGAGGATCCAGAACAGCACACATGGCCAGAATTGAAACCAAGGAATGTGAGGGAGACAGGGCGAAGAAACTGCCAGCTCTTACATGCATAGATGGAAAAACATCACTAGTAAATACCTTAAGAGATCTGTAAGTCATGGCAGAAAGGGAGGTACTGCTGAGTTCAGAAATAATCTAAAAAAGCTTGTGGGTTCAGTGGAGGAAAGGATGGCAGGCTCTGCTTTGGCATGGGGACAGGTGTGGAGGGAGCAGTCAGGATGAGATCACAGCACCTTCAAGCCCCTCTGTCATGTAAACACAGCGTAGCTAACACGCGAGTCCAAAGGCATAGCGGCCTCTGGGGAACGACTGAGCTCATGGACTGGAAGCGAGCCACGTCCAGCATGTCAACTCCGGCTGGTGTAAATCTGACACAACGGCAGTGTGTTCAGGGGTGAACTACATCACCTCTGTGCACATCTTGTCATTTGCAGAGCAGCACTACAGAAGCCTGATGCCTTTTCAGGAAAAGACCCACAAATAATTCAGCATTAAGAACTAGTCCTTTCTCCTGTTTCTGTCAGAATATTCCTTGTGTGCTATAGAGAATGAAGCACTGACCTGAAACAGACAACCCCAAACTGCAGTGGACGCTAGGATTCGGTTTGCAAAGCTGCACACTGCTTTCCTGAGTTCATTTGGGGATCTTGGGTTAGTTCCTGTAAGATCTCAAGGAAAACCCAGCTGAGAGGATCTCGAGTCAGCTGCCCCGCGTCCATGAGTACAGGCTGTAAGCTCTGTGCTTCCCGTTACCTCCATCTGTGTCACACAGATCTTGGATGCAGACCAGCAGCTCTTATCCTGAGACTGTTTACGCACCCACCCGGATCACCCAATATACGCACACCCCAATAGTACTACTGCAGGGCTTGCATAGTATCAACCCATATATTAACACCATATGTTACAGGCTTCATACGAGAGGCTGCATCCGCCGCTTCCGCAGTGCAGGCTGTTGCCTAGGGCAACGGGATACAGGGGGGCTGCAAAGCGTTTCGCTATTGCTTTCTCTGCGTGACTGTGAGCTGTATGATTTCCAGCTTCCCCGAGGCAATGAATTCTCTATGGCTGGCCCTGGATACGAGAGCAGTTATCTGCCGTTCCAAGCCATATGTGCAAGCCAAACAATGCTAATGTGCGGCGTTTTGGTCTGCTAGCAACAGTTGCTGACAGAACCTGGCTCTCCTTGCTCAACACATGCGTTGAGCTCTGGGGATTTTAGAGTAGTTACTCCCAGTTAACATCGGAGAACCACTTCAAGATACCTGCAACGTGAAGAGGTGAAGAAAATCTAACGCCAGGAGTGGTATCTTTCAGTACTTCAGAAGACTGATTTAAATCCCCTTTAAATTCAGGGACCTCTGAGACAGCAGCCATTTTTCACTTTTTATGTGTAGAGGATTAGCCTACAGTTACTGGCATCTCCGAAATCATTGCCGTATCTATAGCTTAGTTAGGACTTTCCAAGGATGTGCAAGCACTAACAGACACGTACAGGGGGAAAGAACTGCAGCAAACACAAGCAGCTGTACTAGCAATAAGTAGAAAAGAGATCATCTGGATGTGCAAAGTTTGTGTATGTTCTCTATTGATTGTATATGTTACAACCTAAACACTTCAAATGCTTTTTTTTTCCTCCCCTCCATATGGACTCCATATTCTAACAGAATTGCTGTGGCTAGAATTAATATCAGGAGAGTTTGCCTCTTTTTGTCAATCAATAATCCTTCACATAACAAAGGAGAACTATAAATATTTCCCTCCTTGGGGTCTGAAGTTCACCATTGTCCATTGCACTTTGGTTTAGAGGTCTCCAAAGCCAATGCTTCATGTCTGAAGCGGTCGATACTGGTTTTTGCAGCATAAAAGCTGCAGCTGATGACATACATGGAAACCATCTTATTGATCTTGCAATATTCAGAGAAAAGGTTATTTCAAACAAAAATAGCAAAGGGTCTTACTATAATGCTGAGCTGTAATCAGATGAATAACTAATCAGAAAGCTCCCAGCAATTATATGCCGGTAATTGGTGGAGGAAGGTTGCTGGAAAAATCTGCTTCATCCTTATTATGGTGATTAGCTTATTCAGCACTAGTGTATGTGCTTTTTTTTTTTTTTTTTAAATGATTTAAAGCTACTCTCACTGTTTCCATCTACTTCTGATATTTGCATTGTTATCAATATCTAGTCCCTTTCCACATTAAATCAGTAGAGGATTCACACTGAACTTAAAAGTCACACTTCAGTTGGAAGTAAATTTGTTGGTTTTTATTTTAGTAGGTCACAGATATCCTACTTCCTGGCTTTAGTTTTCAGATAGGGGAGTATGTAGTTTCAGCAATGTGCAATCATCATTCTGGAGGATGGTTAATTACACTCTGGTTACACAGCAGAGCCTTGTGCATCATTACATCTTGATTGAGAGAAAGCTAGCAGCCAAGCACACTTTGAGGAGCAATGCTGTTTGGACAAGAGCTATGAGGAGTCTCTCATAGCTCTTGTTATTCCGTGCTCGCTCTACCACAGCATCTACAATACCAGCTGTGCCCAGGCCATGCTCTGCAGACATCCCGCTTTCCTTTTCAGAGCTGGGGGAGCAAAGTCTCCCCATGTCACCCATGGGAAGGAGGAATGAAACAACTGATAGTCCCCTGCCACCTCCTCTGTTCAAAAGCACCACAGTAGAGCTGCTGCCTGAGGTAGCAAGGGAATAGATTGATCTCAGGAACACAGCTGTGCTGGATCAGCCTTGTCCTCCTCCTGCAGAGGAGAGAGCACAGGAGGATAATTAGTACTAATTCATTCAACAACTTCTATTGCCACAAGTCCCTCAATGACAGGATCCACCTGCTTTGTCTTCCTTTCTCAGATCAGCTGAAAGGCAGGGGGTTACTGAGTTTGGCAGAGGAGCTTCAGCCTCACTCCCTCAAGCCCACTCTCCAGGAGATTTAATGGCACTGCAGGGCTTGGTACCCAGGAGTTGCTTTCTGTTGAGAGACCCTTTGTCCTGGGAGATTCAGAGGATAGCCCCCATCACTTGGGGAGGGGCCACTAGAGGACACAGAAGGGTGTAATCACTTTCCTGTACACAAACCCTGTAGGAGCAAGGCCATTTTACTGTTCATGCTGCGCTCAAAGAATGGTAGTCCAAAACATCTAGCCAACCCACTCTCCAGAACAAAAAGCCTGTGAGATGGATGCAGATCCTTTGAAAAGTTGGGTACACAAGTTCTTTAGTTTTTCATCTGAATTATATTAGACTAAAGAAGCATATCACTTCTTTACTGAAAGTTGTGTGTGTGTAATTTTGATGTCTAAGAAATATAGTTCAATAGTTCAAGTCAGTGATGCTGGTTTTCCTACTCAGAAGTAAACATATCCCTTCATTTTATCCCTAGAAGATAGAAGCATAAAACTAATCTTATAAGTGCTTTAGCAAAGGTAGTGATCTTATGTGAAACTTGATAACCTCAGTTACAGATTAAGCTACAAACTATAAGAGTCTTAAATGTTTAATAAGGAAACACCCAGATTAGGAAAATATTTTACAACAAAATAAGAGCAGAGTTGACAAGATCATCCTTACCTCCTAGAGGGTAGTCCTACGCTACCCAGACAAGGATGGTGACAGAGTTAAATGATAAAAATGACATAACATTAATCTAGTAAGTCTAAACTACAAGTCATAAACAGCAGAGAAAGTACCTGAAAACAACATTGTCCACAACACAAGGAGAAGAGGGACTGGGAGCCCTCTTAAATGGAGTCACTGGAGCACTGGGCAGAGCGATTGGGTGATGATTAGTGATTAGATGATTAATGCAGTCAGGCCCCTTGCTACATGCTGCTACTAATTGCAAAATACTTTCTCAGTACACCCTACACGCTCTAAAATACCTGTCACGTCCACTACCGGTGCTGTTATTTGGGATCAGTCAGACCTTGTGCCTGATTTTTAAACTTCTTGTTAGTGTTTTGTTTTTATTTCTGCTAATTAGCCCATTCTTAGCTGTTTCAGTTCAACTATCAGACCTGCTGCCTCTGAAAGAGTATGTAGTAGTAATTAGCCTGACACAAACAACAACTGCAAAACCTTAATGAGCAAGATGCTGTTTTAAAATACAGTGTTGAATCTGCAGATATTATCAGATAAAGTTGGAAAACGCTCTAATGTTCAAAGTTGCAAACAGGAGATAAATATTTATTGGTATGTCCCCATTTATCATCTAGCTTTACTGCAGTAATTGCAACTGAAATTAGACAAATTGTATGAATACCTTGGTCTTCAGTTCCCAGCTGAAGATTATTTTTCCTTGTGCTTCATTATTTGTATCAAGATTTTGAAGCTCCTGTGATGCTTCTGATGCAAGTAAATAAATACTGCTTTATTTTTTGTACAGCTAACAGTTGCTACTCTCGAACCAAATATATTTAAAATGAGGCAGACAGGTAAATATTTTGCAGAATCACATGAATTTATGCTACAAAGGAGCAACAATGAAAGGGTTAAAGAGGCAATGGCAGGGAAGGATTATTTCTCCACCTGAAGCAGGTATCAGTTAGGGGCAGGTGTTAGCACTAGACCTGGAGTGGAGAATGGTTACAGGGCCTGCTTAAAGGAGCTGTGGAAAGAGATATCAGCTGGAAGTAAAGAAATAATGAGGTAGGTTTTTAGGTAGAGAAAGAAGTACAAAAAGAGAGGATGGAAGGTAGGTGGGTGGGGGGGATGTCTATAGGGTACCTAAAGGCTATGTAGGAGGCTGGTTTGTGGTTTGAAGCTTGTGTGCTGTGCTAGGGAGCTGAGTTGTGAGAACTCTAAAGTGTGCCTGCTGTGCAGTAGGTTGCAAGGATGTACAGGAGAATTGAAGGCTTTTGGGAAGCTGGAAGGCTGCCTTGGAGATATGGGGCTATGTAGGAGGCTGGAAATCCCTGTGCTGCTTGGTAGGCTCAAAGGCTGATCTGAATCTGGTGTTATCAGCTCATGGGACAAAGAGACTCAAGAAAAAAAAAAGTCTATTTATAAGAGATCCTAAGGATGAACACAGGGATGCAAGCAGTAACTAATGTTTATTTACCAAGGCATTAAGTAATTATATTTCCCTTTAGGTAAATAGTAATCTTGGGGAGTTGTTAACCTACAGCTTTCAGAGGTGCTGGGGCTCCAGGAGGCAGAAGAAAAATTAGGAACTATTCAAATATTAATGTATTTTAAGAGGAAGCAGTACTTCTACTGAGGTCTGCGTGTGGCTTTGCTCTGGGTTGTGGGGTCAGATGGCACAAAAATGCTCACAATAAGGAAAATCTCTGCTGGTTCTCTGCCCTGGTACAGCAGCAGATGCACTAGGAACTGGAATTCCCTCTTAAAGCAGCACAGCCTCTAGCAGACATGCTCACCTGCTCAAATATTCTCCATTTAGTGGTGCATACGTACAGGTAATGTGTGGTTTAACCTTCTCCACTGCCCATACGCAATGTGCCTCTGCCAATAATTAGAGCTGTGCTCTGAATACAACTGTCTAAGAAGGCAGCTCTGCTGCTGAGGTGGAGCTGGCAGATATTCCTGGTTTGTGGGTCCAGAGAGGTGGTACCAACACAAGCATGGGTGTTTGGTAACTCAGATCAAAAATGAACTTGCAGACAGACCTATTTTGGGGAGCAGGTAGGAGGATGGCATGCCACTATGTGCCTCCATCCACTCTGAGGTCACCTCAGGAGTCCTGGGTGTAGATCTGAGGTGGTTTTCTTCTTGGCAGCAGAGTACTCCTAACTGTGAGCCTGCTGCTTTGAGCTGCTTCCAAACCATTTTGGTGTTGCTTTTTTAAGCTGAATTTCTTTACATTTAAAGACTCCCTGTCAGCATAAACCAATTCAAAGGGCTCTCAAGCAAGTAGGAAATGTATATGTATATGCTTTCAGCATGTTCCTCCCCAGACTTTTGCTTTTGTGGTGCAAAGCTTTAAGCAAAATTCTTCCTGCTGCTTCCCCTGCCCCCAGCCCTTTTTCAAATGGTTCTCAGATGCGTTCTTAAATAAAACCTAAAATACATGTATTCTTAAACTGTCTTGCTTTATTGGCAATTAAATGGAAGATCATCTGCTTCATGAGGGTAGCAATCGCTCTGTGGTGCCAAAGTGCTCAGCTGAGAATCGCTGGAGAAGCACAAAGCACTACTTGATGCGATATTTCCTGAAGTGGGCTTATGTCTAGTGGGACTTGGGTCCATAAACAGATGTGTGGTTTAAATCTTTTTGAGTTAATAAGCGCTGGTCAGCAGAAAGTGTTTGCAGTGGGGTTTCCTGGCAGACTAAAGAGCAATTTCTTATCTCATCGGAACACTGTTCAGCTTTAGGCAATGCAAGCCCATCGTGCTGTTGCAGCCAGAAGCACTGTCCTTTCTGTGTTGGTTGGAGGATGCTGATGCTGAGTTGGCAGGGAAGGTCTCTGTGTGCTGTCCCTTGCCAGATGAGTTATCTCAAACAGCTGGGTGCTGCTTCTGAAGCTGACTTCTAGACCTCTTCTGCTCTCTGCGGACCTACCTGCTTGTTAGCTTATACAGTCCCCAGATAAATTTAGGCTTGTTACCAAAGGAAGTGAAGCTCATGCTTTGTCTGTGTATCCCAGCTGGCTTTTTTAGCAGCTCTTCCCTGATTTTGACATAGCATTGAAACTCCTGGTTTCCTGTAAACCTTGTGAGCATGGGTTGTGAGAGAGCAGCTCATTATTTTTGCCCTATTATTAGACATTACAGAACCAAGTTAGAGTAAGGTAATAAAAACCGGTGATTGTGCTGCTTGGGGAAGAGAGGAAGAGGGCTGGGAGCATGGTTGTGTGTGGTAGGGCAGTGTCTCTTGGAAAGCTCAGGAAATCACCCTGCAGATTGAGTCTTTCTGGAAACTTAAACCCGTCAGGCACTGGCAGGACAAACTCAGACTGAGTGTAGGTGTGTGAGTGTCCGGTTGTCTTCTGAGGCTGCCCAAGGGGGTGCACATGCAGGAGAGTGCTGCAGTTTCTCACTTGCAGGAGCCCAGCACTGAGAAATTAGTTAGAGATCTGTCCCCAGAGACCTGCCCCCAGTGTTTTAACAGCAGCCCTGATCTGGGGAAAGAATAAGAATGGGCACTTCATGGCTGCCAGACTGGTGCTTAGTTAGGGGGAGTAACTCTGTTCTGACTGGCACAGTCATGTCTGTTTCATCCTCTGTTCCTCAGCATTGCCCTAGGGAATGTGGAAGGAGTGTTTGTGTATCTGCCAGCTGAGAGCCCAATCAGTCAAAGCCTTGGTGTTCAGAAGAGTAAAGACAGGAGTTCGAGTTCCTTTCTCCCAGCGGGCTGCTCAGGTAACCACCGTGCACAGACATGCAAACAGGAAAAGATCAATTGTCCCTGAAGTCCAATATCCCACCCTACGTAGTAACTGATGTTAAGCATTAGAGAGACAGCAGTAATGTTGGATGTTCCTGCACTGTAATTTGTAATGTGAGAGGCTGTTTCTTCCTGTTCAGCTAACGTTTGGCAAGTGTCCAAAAGCCTTGAGTATCAACAGCCCTCGTGATTCTTGCAGAGCCTATTTTTATCCCCATGTCTTTATGGTTCTCCTTTTTCTGCTTTAAGTTGTGAATTACAACAGGAAAAAAAAATACTGCTTCCATCAGGGAATGTGCACAGCTGCTCCTTAGGGAAAGGAGGCGTCCTGGTGGTCTTGGCTGAATGGATCTAGCAGCTGTTCTGTGCTGCTGATGTTCCAGTGATTGATTGCAGGGAGGAAAAAGGTGAAGAGGGAAGAGAGGGGAGCAGTGCAGTGTTCTGGATGCTGGCAAGAGTCAGGGTTACTGTCACACTGGAGGTGATGTGGTGTGTCAGTGGCAAAGTACAGGGAGGAGAAAAACATGTTCATTTCTTAATATCCAGAGATTTTTCTCCTCCAGCATTCCCTTCCTACTGCTGTTGGAGGGCACAAAGACTGTGCCTGTGCATCTGCCTCTCACATTGTACTCTGTGTTGATGGCAGTGTGATCATGGTGTTAAGGAGCATGAGAGAATGGTTAGAAAACCAGGACTCTAATCCAGTGGGTATAGCACTGTTTTTTGTTTTGTTTTGGTTTCTTTTCTTTTTAAAGAGGCTGGTAAAAGGAAAATGAGTATCCCTGGATGTCCGCATGGTTCCAGCTTCAAGATGGCAATGAAGGTCTTTGGCAAGGATGTCTACTGATCTTAGCTGTGCTCACTCCAGGTTTGACAGCTCACATGGGAATAAACATGCACCAAGAGTGACAGAGTTCTTGTTTCCCACTGCTGAGAGTGACCAAAAATATTTTGCTTGTCAATTAGGAAGTCACTTTAAGCAGATCAGTGTAATGAGATTCTGAAGCCATATGGCACTGGAATTAGTGCCTTCTAGTGCAGTAACTGCATGCTGTAATTGCAGCGGTGCTGTATGCTGAAAGTAATTCCAACTGCACAGGTTTTTCTTCTACTCTTTCTTCTATCTTGTTAGGGTTTGAAACAATGCCTGAGATGTAGCCCTTGCTTTAAACTTAAAATAAATAATTAAGGGAATACTGGCTTTTTATTAGTTGGAATAAAATAAATGGAAGTTAACAGAAAACACAAGTTTCCTAGCTGAACAATGAAATGGGTTGTACCTGTAGCTGCATTGAGTGTTTGTTCTCTGAAAATGAACCTTCATTTCAAACCCCTGAAATCCCTTGTGGCTCATCAGGTTCATGGTCTCGATGGTGAGGAAGGAAGAAGGAAGGTCATTGAGGTATATATGAAAAGGAATAGCATATTCCAGCATAGTCAACAAAGAACAGTTCAAACTTCAGATAAAACATCAGGATAGTGTGAAGCTGGAGTTTCAGTAGCAAAATCTGAATTTTTCATTATCTTATATGCATATCAACCTAAATAGCAGCAATGGATTTAGATTTTCTCTCTCAGCCTTGCAATATACTGTGCCTTGGTGAGGGGAGCTGCTGATCTCCATGAATAAGATATCTCTTCTCAATCTCATTGTATTTTTTATTAATGTTTTTGAAATCATAGATGGACGGGAGAGGCAATCTAAGTCTTGTCTACTAAACCTGATTCCTACAAAGCTCCATTGAAAACAGACATCTATTTCCCCTCAGCTGTTCTAATGACTCTGTAAGCTGCGAACAGGAGGCTTTCTACGGTCTTTTCTAGCTGCCTCACTTACATGTGCAGCAGAGGCAGGCTTCTCTTCCCCCCCCCCCCTCCTCTGGCATATAAATACAGTTCCCAAACTCATTTTGAGTGAAGAGGCAAGAATTGAGATCCGCTGGGACCAACATTATTGAGATCCAGTGTGTTTGTTGCTTGTTCCGTGATTAACAGTGTTAATTATTGGAGCACTACCTTTGGGGGCAGGAGAGTATTATTCCACGAGGAAAAGATACAGGGTTTAAACACATTTAACTGATTTGACTTTAAATTTGTGACAATCCTCTGACTGCACAAGAAGATGCATGCTGTCATTACTGTATCCCTAACAAAAAAGCTCCAATTCCAAGGTGAGCTGGTATTTCCAACAGAATTAGGAACTCGTGCAATTCCTCTGGTTTGATAATGTCAGCTGAAGATACCTGGGTTTTCTTATTTCTCATGACACTTACGCTATTTACTTGCTTATTCATTGTCAGCCCAACCCAGATAGGGTTGCTAGGCAATGCTGGCAATTCATGAGCAGAAAATGTCCTCCTCCTTATTATTTTCAAATGTGCTTGTCTGGAGCAGCAGGAAAGAAACTCCCCTCCATTCTGTGGCAATCTCTGGAAACAACCCAAGGAAACGTGCCTGCTTCTCTTCTGTACCTGCTTCCTCTGCTGTGTTCTTTTGTGTTTAAAGAACAGTGATTTGCTTTCAGTCAGGCTGATAACCTTTCAGCTGAAGAGGGAAAATTGGGAAGAAGTTAATTATGAATGCTGAGCGCATAGTTGGTAACGTGCTACATAAAAGCATTCCTGCAAACCAGCCGTCACAGCATCTCCTGAGCACACACACTTGGCGCAGTACAGAGGAGGTAATCCTTTGGGTGGCAGCAAACAGTGCATCTCTCCATGCTCCAGTGTCAGAGGTTTCTGATAACCTCAGGAGAAGCTGGCCAAGCTTCTTGTGAAATGTGAATGAAATCAACGTACACAAGAATAAACAGATCTTTCTGTCCACTGATCCTAACTCATGCACCACAGCGCTCTGTCCCTGAGGTAAACCTTATGTGCCCTGGAGCCGAATGGTAAGCAGCTACAGTCAGCTTATTTTTTTGTTCAGAGCTGGGTGGTGGCAGTGGCATGCCAGGCATCTGAACCACATATTTAGCAGTGGAAAGGATCAGTGTTTCCTAGGGAAAAAACAAGACTTAAATGATGTTTACCTACACTTCATAAGCTCTCACCTAGGCCAGGTTGCTTTTCACATCCCACTTGTAGCATCAAGCCTTCCCCCTTGGAACAGCGTGTTTCACTGAGCCTCCTGGTGCTAACCCACGTGGTGGGAACAGTATATGCAGGGGAAGCTGGCAGACAAACATCTCATCACAATGCTGAATTTTCCCCGCTGTACATCTATGTATGTGCAAGGTTGGAGTGCGGTTATTCTGTGTATGCATGCACACATGAATGTAGTGTCAGAAAAGCTTATTCTTCAAGGTATGTCACATTTGCCTTTGCAAGGACATCCTGAGCCCCTGAAACAGAAGAAAATATAAGCTGTACAGAGGATGGAACAAAGGCTTTAAGAAAAACACTGGGATACGTTTCCACTTCTCTTACTTCGTGATGACAATTTTTTTCTACAAATTCTGCCTTCTACGCTGCTGTTCTCCCCATCTGAAAAATATTGCAGTCCCCTGGGGATTTAATATGGAAGCTCTAATAAATATTTTACAAAGGAGAATGAATCGGGTCTCCCAACAGCACAGTATGCCATTGTCTTCACTCTGCAGGCAGGGTTTTGGCAAAGAGCAGGAGGGTGACCAGCTTTATGCCATGCAGCAAGCTTAGGGGAGGGAGCACAGATCTTTGAGAGCAAGGATCCCGTTATAGCTCTCTGTCAACAAAAAGAGAGGATTAGGGAGCTCAGACAGCTCCCTGGTTGGGGAGCACTGGAGCTGGTAGGGGAGGAGCAGCGCTGAGCTGACTTCTGTGCTTTAGCCACCAGGCATTCCTGCTTGTCCATGTAGTTAGCCACTATGTTAGTAGCAGCTTCATGTGAGGCGTTTTCTCCTGGGCACTTTTGTCCCCTGTTCCCTCTGTGTTAATTGAGCTCCTCCTTTTTCACTCTGTCTGTGGATCAGCTGTGATCTGAGGCAGTCAGGAGCTGAATACAGGGTGTAGCTGAGTAAGACACCAACAGGTGTTAGTGACTGAGGCAGAAGGTGGCACAGCCTTTCCTCATCTGCATGCAAGATCCTTGCAGCAAGCTTGTTCTGTGCCCAGGTCCCTTCAGCTGAGCTCTGGGTTGCAGCTTGGCTCTCATTTATGAAGTTCTTGTTGTATTCTTTGCACTGTCACCAATACTGGCCTTGTGCCTGGTTGTGCATCTCCTATGCAGTTCCCCCTGCCCCAGGGAAGGCTCCTTTTTATTTCACCACATCAGGACTGAGTGTTCTCTACACTCAGTTCCCTAAGTACTTGTTTCTTCACAGGGCTCTCCGATTAGTAATTATTATTACGGAAATCATTAAAAGTGGGGAAAAAAATCAAATATCCAGCACCTTCAAAGAAAGATTTCTAAATATATGTTCCAAGACCCAAATATTAATGTCAAACTCATGGATCCAACTTCTTTTTAAGAAAGGTTTGAATGAGGGTTGTACAGCTAGCAGAACATTTCTGCCAGCAATATTTCTGTTCTCCATTTGCTATTCTGTTCATTTAGATGATCAGATCTTGTGAGCAGGAACTGTACACAGCAGCAGAGGGCTCTTCTGTATAGTTGCAGCTTCCCAGCACCACTGCCAGGCATGAATAATTGGTTGAGCAGCTCTGCAGAGCAGTCTCCTTGCACTGTCCACGCTGAAATGCTGAAGCAGGAAAAAAAAAGTGTCAATAATGAGGAATCATAAGCCTTAAAGGGAGTGACAGTAATGAAGAAAAATGTTTTCTTAAGAACTTTGTGGATGTATTTGGTATGCCCTTTAAGGGGAGCATCCGGTGATATTGCAGTGTGCTTCTGGGATCTTCCACCTTCGTCGTCGTTTGTAGGATAGCTTTAAATTAATGATAAGGAAGCCATTCAGGGCATTGGCTGTGCCGAGGTTCACAGGTTTCATTCTGAACGAGAGAATGAAGTAAACTGATATTGAAAGCAAGGAGGGAGAAACAACCACAGTCAGTAAGCCTATAAAAGTCTTAGCCAATTGCAATGGCGAACATCCTGCTGGTGGGGATGACCTTGAATGAACTAAGTGGGATAAAGTCACCAGCCTGGACTGACGGCTGAAGAACCAGGCTGGATTCCAGCAAACAGCAGATTCCTGCTGAGTCTCCTGCGCTCTGGCAATGGCTTCTCGGTGTCAGAGATGTGGACAACAGGTGCCCAGGAACCCACCTTTCACTGCTGTCCGGATAACAGAAGGAGAAATGAAGTCTTACCATGATTTTATAGGAGGATGCATTAGACTGGAGCGTATGGCAAAGAAAGGTATGTGCAGCATCTTTAAAAGAAATAGCATCTTCTCCTAGTGGTATCTGCACTGCATTCCTGAGAGATTTGCAAAAGGGGCTTGTTTTTCTAATGCTTTCTCTGAGGAGCCAGTGGTAAACAATTTAAAGGGAACTGGCTGGATTTGGATATTAACTCTGGCATGACTGTATCATTTGGCTTGAATGTACATGTCTGGGGTATTTGCAGTGATTTAACCCAGACAAGGTTAAAAGGGGTGCTGGATTCTTTCTGAGTAAATGTTTATTTCACTCGGCTGTCAGTGAGATTTCTGTATATGTCTGGAGCAAGTATTCATTGCACATCTAAAATACCCTTTTGAAATGAATGTAAGGAGATGGGGCAGTGGGTTTCCTGCCATAGCTGACCCTGTCACACTGTGCTCCTAAGGTACTATGTAGAAGGTCAGTACCTTTTTCACTGTGACGCTTCTGTTTTCCCTGGACCATAACAGAAATCTGGACTGTCAAGCTTTTTGTGTTCTGCATGTTTCATGCTGAGTACAGGGTAATATTCTACTCCGAATAGGTTGCTAGTGTGAGATGCTGGTGTCCTGGCAATTTGTTCTAATTGCATAGTTAATTCTGAAGTGATGTTAGCTGAAACCTATGCTGCTGACTATGCCAGCTATCAAGACTGCTGAATCATAGAGCAGTTTTTCTGTTTGTTGTCATTAAAGAGAGATCAACCAGAGGAACCCTTTGGTTTCATTTGTTCTATTAACTTGGATAAATACTTAGCAAACCTGAAATCCAGAAGTATAAAAAATGTTCACTAGTACATGATAAAAAAGATCCCCCCAAAACAGTCTAGTTGTACTTTCAAGTTGATTTCTTTATTATGATTTAGTTAGCTCTTCAGCAAAAGTGTTTCCAAATGGTCACGGGCTGAAGTTGTGAAGTATTTTGGTTCTTCTTTGATTACTCTTCGGAAACCTTTGTATCTGGGAATTGCATTCAGTCTGGGAAATCGAGACTGTTCTGCAGGAAAAGAAGGTGGACCAGAAGCAGGTGATCTGCTGGCAACTCCTGCTTGCAGCAAATCAGGCTTTGCAAATGCTTTCTTTAACAGGGCTCTAACACACAATGCCAGGGTTTGAAAACTGCAAAGCCAGCCCGTTTACCTCTGCTTCTGTTGGCCGTTTATCCGTGCTGACTTTTGGGCTCAGTGCCTACCTATGCATTGTTGGATTTGGCTGACCTTTCACTAACACGGATGTTTCCAGTTGCATTCTTTGTAACGAGGCATTCAGAGTTCACTCTGTAGCATGGCAGAAATGTCTGGCATCTTGAGTAAATAGCAAAATTCCTCGCTGTTCCTCCTGAAGCTTTGATCAGATCCTTCCAGGTTGCTTATGGCTCTGTGGGCCTACTGTAGCCACAGCTCAGGCATCTGCTGTTCCTTTTCTTCCTGTAGGTAGAGAGGGGAAGACACTGGGTTTGCCATGGTTACTGTTCCCAGGGAAACACCTTTCCTGCCTAATATGCTGAGAGATGACCTGGCGTAGTATTACAGGCAGGAAATCCCTTGGAAAATTATTTTCTGGTAGAGAATGGGTAGTACATCAATGCAGTCTAAGCACGTTCCCATTTTGTGAGGCAGAAAACATCTTTTCTGCTTCTGTTTAAAATTCTACCGAAGAGGACATCTGAAGGGCAGAAGGTAGCTTGCTGTTAGGGATGAGGTGCCTTCAGCTGCATGAGCTGTGAAAGTACATCAGTGACAACTCTGCGTGTGGTGACCGTGTTGGAAGGGGACCGAGGAACTGGCAATGTGGCATAGGATTTTGCATTAACAACGTCCCCTGTGTTCCCTTTCTTCTGCTGTACCATGAAGTGTACCGTGACTCTGGCCAACGACCACTTACTGTGAACTGCGACTATTCTGTGAAGTTGAGACCAGTTCCTTTTGTGGTAGGTGCTGCATAAACCCAGGGAAGGAAAGACAATCTGTCCCAGAGAACCTGGGCTCTGCCTGCCCCATCTTGCTAGTCCCTTGCTACTAGCAGAGGCTTGTTGATAAGCTTTAGGGGTGTGCGTGTGCCTTTTTCTCAGGATGGCTGTGTTTGAACATAGTGACAGGATCATGGATCTCCTTTGCATATTCTGACTTGGCTCTAACTTGGGGAATCTTTTCTGCAATGCAAAGATCCAGATGGAGTATTGTTCAGGGCTGGTGTTTACTCAGTAATACTTGGGGCACTCTGAGGTACAAACTATTTTTCACATACAGACTGCAGCTGTGGAGCCCTGGGAATATTCTGTGGCAATTGTCTCTCTTGTACTAAATATCACAGCGAGAGGAAATGGAAGGCACAGGTAACTACAGTAGAAACAGAGGCCTCATGGTTGCAGTCAGGCCTGCAGCGACAGTCCTTTCCTGTGAGGTCACGGCTGAATATCTCTGTAGGCTTGAGTCTTACAAGGAGTGAACAGCCTTTCTGTTCACAGCTAGTGTCAGAAAAATGCTTTACTCTTTCTTTGGAATGATGCTCGTGAGCACAGTGATGCTTTGGTATTTGCTGAAGAAGTAATATCTTTTTATCTTTCTGTCTAATCTATTAACTACTAATAGCTCAATGATGAAAGGTCCCTTACAGCTTCTGTAGCTATGTCTTATTTCAGACCACATTCATCCTGATGAACCAGAACTAAATCCCTGCGGGTACCCAGCTGTCTACTTGTATGCTTTTCCCTGCGTTAAATATCTGTGGTAAATGCAGCCGCAGATAACCTACATTTGCTCAGCAATGCCAGCAGCGAGCAGTGCTGGGCTAACCCAGTATCTGGATCGCACGAGTTCAAGGCTTCCTTTGAATCCATGGGACTTGTTTTGATGAGGGAAACTGTGGTTGTAGTCTCCTGCTCACATAGAGAAGAAAATAGTGAATGCCTGCCAAAAGAGGTCACTGTGAGGGGGTAGCTGAAGGGCAGTTTCCCCGTGGCTAAGTGATAACTGCTGAGAGCTCCACAGCTTGACAAAGAGGATGAGGGAAAGGAACCCTGACTCCCTCACAACAGGCAGAGGAAGGTTCTTGCTCTATGAGCTGGCCTACAGGATCTGAAGGCCCCTTTGGCATCTGATCTGCAAGTATTTTGAGCACCGGTACGTGACCCTGAGACTCTGGGAGCAGCAGTTCACAGGGTGTGGTCCCTGAAAACCAAGGGGAAGCGGACCCCAGAAAGCCAGGGAAGAAATGCAGCAGTCCAGAGCTGATCCTCCTTGTAGTGCTCTCAGTTCCATGCTAGACATCTTGAAACTGAAAGTGAAGCGTAGCTCCTTGGCATGAAATGCAGCACTCTTGGACAGCATCTCATGGCTTTTCAGTAGTGACATGGCTTTCCATGTCACCCAGCTGCTGATTAATGTCCTTTATGCTTTAGGATCCCTCCTGCCAAAACAGTCCCCTCTGTCCCCAGATGCCCTTAGTAGCCTGCCTTGCTGTCAATGTTCAAGCCCTCCAGTATCTCACAAGGGACCTCATAGCTAATGGGCTTGACATGGATGGATGAGCATTGTTTCTGCATGCTGTGGAGCTTGAGGCTGCAGGCTACGTTTTTAACTGACTAAATGAATGTTTTTTAACTGTGCTTAAGGCTGGTGGCTGCATAAAACAGGGTAGTGAATCCGCAGGCACCAAGGAGTACGTAGTTCATTGAGGCTATTCAGGATTTTGCAGATGGTGCAAAACCAGACAAGATCCTCTGTCAGTAACTTGAGAACCTATCTCTTGCACTAACGTATTTCTGATTTTGTTCTACCCTAGGGCACAGGAATGCCACAGTTCTGACTGCCCAGCAATAATGGGTGCTTGCTCTGCCCTGCTGCTCTGTCTAAATTACTGCTGGAAATGAAAAGCAATCCTTCATGTCTATCTGTTCATGAAGACTGAAGTATTTGAAATGGGTTTAGAGCAGCTAAGGGTTTAAAGGCAGAAAAATGTCTCTTTAGTGCTTCCTACAGAAGGAAATCCCATCTTAATGAGGCCAGGCCAAAATTTCTTGTACTTCTTGAAGCACCTTTGCCTTCAGTGGTGAAATAAATGAGGAACACCTTCCTTTCCCCTGTGTCTGGCCCCCTCACAAAGGCACTAGTTACTGGGGAAAGTGACTGTATCATGTGAAGACAGAAATCTGCAGTGGAAGATATTTCAAAACCCACTGAGATCCAGCCACAGGGTCTCCTTGTACACTGCTCAGAATTTTTCTTGTTTTATTTGTATTCAATATCTATTTTCCTCTCATGTAAAATGCTACCTAGGGAACCTGGGATATTTTTTCATCTGGTTCTCGATGCAAAGGAAATAAATAAAATATTGTCTTCCACAGAGGTTTTTATAACAAATATTCTTATCTTTGATGCTTGTGTCTCTTCATTTCTTCAAAGCATGATATGTATCTTGCTTTGCTGCTAGTGAGTAGCACTGAATGCTGCTTACCTAATAAAAAAAAAAAAAGTCCGGAAAATGGTAATGAAAATAGGGAAGGCAGAGCTTAATTTCCATTTAAAAAGTTTTGAGAGACAAGTACTACAGAGAAGATCAAGAGAACAAATTCTCAGAAGGCAAGTTAGAGTAGAAGCCTTCTGGGTACTTATATTTCTGTTCCTCCCAGGATAGCAGAACAAGAAATAACTCAGTAAAATGGAAAAGCATTAAACATGGAGAGACAGATAGCTGTAATTGGTGATGTTTTGTTAACTTGCAGGGCTTATTACCACAAGATGATAGCTTAGTTTGCTTTTTTTTCTACTGCCTGAATTGTAGTCTAAGTTGGCTGGGAAGGAGACTTTAGGGAAAAATGGTGCTGAATACACAGGGAGGTCAGTCTGTGCAGGGTTTGGATCCTGGTTCAATGAGTGGAGCTCATTATCCAACTTCATCCAGATCTGCCACTTCAAGTGCCACTTAAGGACCCTATTTTGCCGTGATATGTTCATCTTGGGTATGAATTCCGTTGCTGCTTTATTATCTGAATCTT